TGGCGACGAGCAGCGAGGCTGCAGCCGTGCCTTCGCAGGCAGCACTCGTCGATGACGTGCAGCCCCACTCGGGGCAGTCGCCGACGCAATCAATGGCGACTGAAATTCTCCACTCGGATGATGACGACGGAGGCTCCACGGAAGAAATGTCAGGAGCAGAAGACACCGAGGAGGAGGAGGAGGAAATTGTTGGAGCGCCGGCGGCGGCGCTCTCTGAGCAGGTGATTCCGTTGCTGAGGTACTTGGATCGCAAGGTCGATAAATACGCCGACCCACTCCAGCCGGGATCTTACATCGAGTTGGTGCGCAGGCGGACTCGCACTAAAGTCCACACCAGCAAGCTATTAGCTAGAGTGGACCAGGAGTTGAGGGAATTGAAGGAGAAGCATGCATGCTTGTGGGGTCAGTATAAGCTTAATCAGAAATTCTACAAGCACTCCGAGAAGATGAAGGATGAGAAACTGGACGAGCTCACCAAGGAGCAGGTGAAGGTCAAGGAAGCACTCATTTCTGAGCAGGCCCAGAATCAGATTTTGTCAGAGGAGCTCGTGCGACAGACGCGGTTGTTGGAACAATGTCAGCTCGCACGACAGGCGGATGAAGAGTTAATCCGCAGGTTACAGTCAGAGTGTGGCGAATTGAGAGCGCAACGTGCTGAAGCCGAATCGCAATTAGTGATAATTGAAGAGGATCGCAGGAAGGAGGCGGATCGCACGAAGGTGGAGACGGCGAGGCGAGTCGCCCACTGTCTCAAGGGCTACGCCCACTGGGAAGTGAAGGCGCAGGAGAAACTCACACTGCGTGAGTTTGAATTGCGCGCAGCCGGGTTGTTGTCAGGCGACAGTAGGAGTCGGCGGAAGGTAGCAAAGAAGCTCGATGCCTTTCTGTCGAAGGCACAGGATACCATGTCCGCCCTCGAAGTGGAGGTGACCTCGGCGTTGCAGCGTTTGGGACTGCGCAGTCGAGCGGAAGACTGGCAGGGTAGGGAGTTAGTGCGCGGCAGTCGGCCGCGCAGGAGACGTAGTACAGGTTCCGCGGAGTGTAGTGTAGCGTGGTTCCGTGCAGGCGTGTAGCGTAGTGCAGTGTAGTGTTAGGTAGGACTTAGAAGGTATAAAATAGTTCCAGGCGTTTTGCCTGGGGTTCTTTCCCAAACTCAGAAGTATAGATCAGGAACCCATTTCCTTTGCGTGTTTGTGTCCTTGAGTTCTGTCACCACGCACGAGGAGTTACAACTTAGCGTTCCGCATTTTGTAGCTGAAGGCCTTCGGCCGAATGTTCAGAGCTAGTACATTGGTTAGAGACTTGAGTAGTTCGGATCTGCACCTGCGGGTGACTGCCGATGCTCAGAGCCAGTGACTAGTTAGATACTTGAACAGTTTCGCCCCTACACCTTCGAGTGTTTCTTTCTGATTGTACTCCTTGGGATTTTTCCCCTGAATGCCAAAGTGAAGTTTTGTTACTTCGTGTAAGCCTTGGTTGTAAATTCAGGTTACGCTGCAGCAGGTGCCTTGAGGGTAACCCCTGTAGTATTTCTGGGAATGACAAGTGCCTGAGAATTCAAACTCTTCAATAGACTGTTGTTGTGTTACTGGAATGTTTCACAGTGAGTCCTTCAGTGTGGACCTGTGTTCTCTGCGCGTTTTGTGAGTTGAGAGTGTTGTTCACCGCGTCTGAGTGACTTCGATCCGAAGTAGGTAGTCCAAACCGGGTTTCCTACACTAGCAGCAAGCTAGTGGAAGCGTTGTAAAAGCCGGAGTTGGAAGTCACTGCCCGCAGCTTTGCCGAGTGTGCTCGTGAGAGACTTTCCCCCTGAAATCTTGAAGTAGAGGTCCTAACGGATCTCTGGGTTGTGTTTCTGTAGTTTCAGGTGTGTGTGTGTGTGTGTGTGTTACGCTGCACTGTGCGACCTCCGAGTGCGCTCCGAGTGGACACTTGCAGTATTTCTGGGAGTGACAGTCGCCTGAGAATTCAAACTCCTCAATAGTCTGTTAAAACGTGACACTTTGTACCCTGTGTGTTCCTCTGTCCCTGTGGGTTCGACCTTTCTACCACTATATTGCAGTTTTAGCCTTTAGTGGGTTATTACAATCATTTTAAGTATAGTAATAATAATATGTAAAAGCAAAATTAAAAAATTAAAATTTGCATAAAAACTTCAAAGTTTTACTTCACGATAGATCAAGTATATTATGTTGATGAATCAAATTTTTAAAATGTTGGAATTAATTATTTTTAATATAATATTGGCGTTAATTTTCTGAAATTAGAATATAAACGCCAATATTGAAATTTCGTATTTTACTGTTGTTATATTAATTTTCATTTAAAATTGATCAAAGTTTTAAAAAATTGTAGACTAACTTTAATTCTATAGAGAAAATTTTATTTATTGTCGAATCCTGCCTCTCCCAAGCACACTTCGTATTTTTTAAATAGAGGCTGGGACCCAAGCCCCAAAAACCAATCATATTATCTACAAATTTGAAATTTTTTTTAGTACTCAATCAATATATCTTTTAGTTTTAAATGCATTATCAACTTCATGTTTGATATATTCTTTTTTCTTGCTGATATTTTTTCATCATCTATTAAAATAATCATCAGGTATGTTCATGTCACAAATTTTTTTTTCCAAAACTATTTCTTTAATTTAGAAAATTGATGACTTTAAAATTTATTGTGACAATTTTATTCACTTCTCTGAAACTATTAGAACTACATGTTATCATGACTTTGAATCTATCTATATTATTATTTTAAACCTTTTTGTTGTTTATTGGTTTAAAATTTGGTTATTTGGCCATTGTTTTGTCACTAAAGTATTTTTTTTTGTATTATTATTTTTTCACCACTTTGAGGTTCTTCGTAGCTGTGTTTTTCACCACTTTAGGTTCTTTTGTATCAAATTGTTTTTTAGATTTTGGAAATCTTTCTACCAGTATTTTTACGTCAATTTGGGAATCTTCATTTCAGCATATTTTCATCAATTTGGACCTCTTTGTACTAGCACTTTCTCATCACTTTAAAAATATAGATTTGAATAATATTATTTCATTTGAAATTTTTTATCAGCTTTTTCATATCACTTTGAACCTCTTTGTATCAACTTTTTTTCACCTCTTTGAAAAGCACAAAGATGAAGAAATACAACGTATACAAGAACATTTCTCTTTTGACATTCTTGGGCTATGTACACGAAACCAGCAAGTTCTTTATTGAAAATCCTACAAAGTGTTTAGGGCGAGCTATGATTCGCCCCCTATATGTACAGGGTAGAAAACATTCAAGGTCTAATGCTAACGACAGTTAAACCTAAACGTAACCCTAACTCAAATTACTTTAACTAGAGCTCAACCTGAGACTTGCGTTAATACTAAGAGAAATCTGCATCAATCGCACTCCTATAAGAACTGAAAAATCTAAATTTAAGCACTCAGAACTTGGCTTTGGTTTTATAACGATCATGATTACTTCCCAAGGCTTGACATGAAGCTCCATTCTTTCTCCATAGTATCTTCATGCTAAGCTTTAATTTCTTTGAGCTTTAACTTATCAACTGCGCGTTGTTGGTGTGTGCACTGTTTAAATTATTTAGAGTGTTCTCCATGCTATGCTCTTCGTTTTGCTTGTTTGGATCGCTATTCTTGGAGGAATTTTTCCTTTCTCCAGTTTGAGGCTTCATTGAAATTGTCCCAGTTTCTTATAAATTTAGTCTGGCTGTGTTGCCTCTTGTCGTCTAAAGATTTTGATCATCGGTATCTAGAACATTCTTAAACCGAGAGTTTTGATATCGACCTGCTTGATTTTTATTTTTCAAATTCAACCACTCTTCGACTATCTTGATGTCATGCTTCAACTTCTTTGCAGTGGCTACTACGCTGCTAGCCTTGCACGTGAGCATAGAACTTTTCATCGAGAGCTATGCAACCAGCACTTCAAGCGTATCGAGTCACTCCAGTGGACGCTAAGCTGAAGTCCAATTTGACAACATCCTCTTTCGGCGCTTCTCGCTTATGACAGGAGTTTCCTCTCCATCGTCATCCGTAGGTGATTTCGCCTGAGATTGAAAACTAGTATAGTTCTCTGTTTATGGAGTACTACCCGGAGTGAAGAAGAAGACGAATCTCAGGCGAAATCACCTCTCCTCTCATTGATATATCCAAAATATATATAAGGATATATCACAGATCATGTAGACCCACTGTTCACGTCTTCAAAATTGATATTCTCCTCTTGCACATTTTGTTACTCGTACAACTTCATTGACTCGTACCCTTTTATCATCTCTGCCACCTTAAACTCCTCAATTTCTCTGAGGACTGTCGTGGCAAGTGTAGTGATTCCCAATTCATAGTTCACATACAAATATCTAATAATCATTTGAAGTAAATACTCCACGAGGAAATAAAAAGGAGCGTAGTTTGTTAACTGTTTTGAAAAACTGTATTAAATTAGGTTCTGAAGATTGGATTAGATTGCTCCACTTCACTGTAAAGTCTAAAACTCATATAATTGAATCTTGAGTTTAGCACAATTTGAGTTCTGTTTTCAAAATGAAACTGAGGATGGACTTGCATCATATTTCCTACATGAAGAGTGACATGCAATGGAATACAGAGCGACACAGTTAAGCTTGAAGTGAAGATCAATCGAGTTACTCCAAGATAGTGAAACTGGTTTCGAGTAACGTTGCGCCATTATCTCTTAGAACGTTAGCCTGATGACCCGAATGGAATCAATTACCTGAAGCATGCTTTACTTATCAGCAAGACACGAGAAAACACATGGCGACTGATAATAAAACATATCGCTGTCATTGGGAATGTTATTATACATTCCGATCTAAACATGGTGCCCGGCATAGAATACTGAAACATTCCATCTGGGTTTTTGTTAAGCAAGGACCGATTGACTTTTATTCTAGATGACACGTTGAGGTCTTCACTGAGACTCCGAGTACAAAAGGCTTCAAGGCTCTCCGAGAAGACCACACTCTTCCGCCAGCAGCTTCTCTTCCCAGTTACACTATTCTACTTAACCTATCACAAAGCGTAAGCTTTGGATAGGTAAAGTAGAAGCAGGAAGACCTTTTGCCGGTCTATTCAAAGGTAAAGTGGATAGGAATGTCTGGACAGTTTAAATTGCATCAATATGAAATCTACTCTCGTTGTTTTCGTCATTCCTTCCTGCTCATGCTACTGACCTCATTGCAGTTATTAGCGAAACGGTATCAATACAGCAGGGCTAATTGTCAGGATTTCAAGTTCAATGTTAGGAATGCCAATTTCAATATTAAGTCGCATGTTATTCGAGATCAATGACGTTCGTTTGCAGGCCTAAAGGCGAAGATTTTATGAATGCCTCGAACCTTAAAAGTTCCCAAAATATGCTCGGTAAGGGTGCTAGATGTCTTGAAATTCTCAGTTTTGCTGATTCATTCCTGTGATGGTGTTGTGGCAGGTCCAAGACGATCAATAAAATCGACTGAATTTCCCAGAATCATGGCAAAGCTTGAAACGTTGACGACGCTTCTGGCCTGGGTCGTCTTCCTCGAAACCGCGCAGGCCGTGGATATCCTCCTGTGGGACGGGCCTTCCTGCTCGGGGCTGGTGCAAGCTCGCTGCACGGCACTCAGCAACACCACCTGCTGCGTGTCGAACAAGGCCTACCAATCTGTGGAGATCCGGGCGGAGAGCTGCCAATACACCACGGCTTTCAAGAATGGCGACTGCACCTCCAATTCCCCAGTCGTAACGAAAAATGGCTCCCGATGCTTCCACGGCCGCAGCGCTGCCTTCACCGCCGCCAGCTGGAAAGACCGATGCGCCGTCGCTCGCAGCAGTCGAGCGCTGCTGGGTGAGCGCCGCTCGAGGGCCAGCGCTGGCGAGTGCGCTCGCCATGTGGAAGTGGACGACCATGAGATCCTCTTTCGAGAAGATCCATTGACGGGGATCTGGAGCCTCAGGCTCCAGGGCGTGACCAGAGCTGAGTTGTTGGAGGAGCTTGCGAGTGTGCCCAAGGATGAGAGAGTGTTCTGGTTGTTCGATCATGGCGCTTCTTACGTGAACCAAGGCGTGGGACTCATCTTTGACATCGTAGACGTTTAAGTTCATGATTTCGATCGAGTGGATATTTGGCCTCTTATTGAATGTCTGTTCCATGGAGCGTGCCTCTCGAGAAGAGCGGGAAATGGAATTTCAGGATATGAATCCTATTTCATATCTTATTTCGATTGCCTTTTCGTGCATCGATGAGTTCAAAGAGAGGTTCATCACCATTCGATTCGTCGATGACTTTTCTTTCGTCGACAAATTTGTCTTGTGTGAACTTCCGAAAAGAATCGACAAGAAAATTTTAATCAATAAACAAACAATTTCTGATGGGCATACACGGAGATTTCGAGATGGGCGAGAATGAGCCATATGGCAGGAAACATGCGTAAGAAATCTGCCAAAAGCTTTCAAGCCGATCAGTTTGCCGATCTCGTTGCCAGTACCTGACAAAGGTATGTTGCGAAGCGATACTATCGAAGGGTACAGTCAGAATTGATTTTATAAATGGTAATGTTAGCATGACTTCGAGCGAGGACTTCTCTCACTTCCTTGACGCAAGGTCTTGAGTTAGGAAACTCATGTAGCATCGTCGTGAGCCCTTTCCGAGGAGTGACTTTTAATGCAATTTAAAGTGCTTAGCAGTATATTCTGAACTCGATCGAAAGTCAAGGTAGGGTCGGGGATTTTCTTCTCTGTCAGGTAGAGGATTTCATTTTGCCCTCTAGCCGCCTGCATGATCCTGTTGAATTTCCTCTCACCTCTGTCCCTCAGATCCATGACATGCACTGTTTTCCAGCAAATTCTTAACGTTGCAGAGATATTCGAGAACGCCTAGGACTCACAGAAAACAACACATGAACTTCACTACAACTAGATCGAAATGAATATTCAGTAAGAACAGAGAAACATCGCAATTTAAATTTGTAGGAAACTTCGTGATTTGTAAATTATCTATTAATATTTTACCTTAGTAGTGAAGCTTGAACTTAAGAATTAGCATCTAATTATGAGAATGAAACATTGATTAGTTTCAAATTGAAATTTACATTAATTTTACATATCTATGACACGTTTTATTATAATACACCTGCCATCTTCTTTCAAACAAAAGTGTTTCAAGAATATAATTTCTTGTTTCATGCGTTAATAAAACTTGAATTAAATTGATGATAAAGCACTATAAAATGCAATAAAGAGTGAAGAGTTGAATGGACCTACATTTTTTAGTAAAATGTACATTTTATATGTTAATCAACAAAACTTCAGCAGTGAAGTTTTCATATTACTGTGTTGAAATCTCATATAAATGAGATAATAATGAGAGTATGTCTTATTACTAATCTTCACACAATGAGATGTTATCTAATTGATATATATATCTCTATCCCTAGGTAGTGATTACTCCGGTATTGAAATGGTATAAAGCATGGAGATGCAAAGTATGAAGGCTGCATCCCTTCCTACAAGGTCTATAATGCAAAGCGTGGGTTTTTATGGAGGAATCTACTTCAAAACTGTTGAAGATTCTTGAGTACTTAAGCATGGCAAAAAAAAAATTGTCGCCAAAATTTGCTCAAACGTGCAATACCCCATTGTGTGTGTGTGTGTGTGTGTTTTTTAGGTCGTTCGTCGAATGAATTTCCAGAGTGACAACAGCAGTGAAAGCTAAAGATTAGCCTTGTGTTTCATGGAAAAATAAAACTATATATGAGAAAAATGGGTAAGAAGAACTTATGAATAAGATAAATTTTCGCACTAATATATCACACTGAAGTGATACCCAAAATTTTAAAAAGTACATATCGTGAATACCACCTCAGAGTTTGACAAATTATTTTTTTTCTAATTGAGAAATGTGTTTTTGTATTTGTTGCTATGTAAGTGGTCATCTGAGTAGATTGATAGTGGTGTGGTATGATACCACACCACACTCACACGTAGACCTTCTTCCGCAAATCTTGAGATCTTGGAGGGTGAGGATCACTATGGAAATGTTCTTGCTTCTCTCAATCATGGAGTCAGTGATTGATGCGATGACCCGGACTCATTCCAGGGGCAGCGGTATTTTGACGCATTTCAACTCTAAGGGCCCTCACGACCATCCGTACTAAACATACTTGAGGCAGTCATTGATTGGCTGCTGGATGGTGGGAAGAGGAGATGCGTGAAACGAAGCTTCAAGAGGAATCGCCGACATCGCCTAAATAAAGAATATATCTTCCGTAAATAAATAGTATTCAGAGCTCGATCACTTTGCAGTGGTTTTCTCCAACGTGAGAACGAACCGGAAACTATTCTGAAAATATTGCAGTATGGGTCGAAAATCTACGCAGACATGAAGCAATCATTCCATCATAGTGCAATTCTCCAGCTCATGAAAGTAAAAATTTTTGGAATCTTGTTTTATTATCCGATGTCTATATAATGTGACTGCCAGTAGTTTGGGCATTTTATCCCTTATTGTGTCAATGAATGAAATCAATGAGGTAATCTACGCACGCACCTAACAGGTAGAATCCACAAATTTGGATCAACAATTAATTGTTTCAGAATCCACTTCCCCTAAAACATACATTCTACATGCTACGAGCCCCAACATCCACTTCTCCAATCCGCCAGGACCTCGATTACAGTTTAGGCCACAACAAGCTCGAACGAGCTCGCTGACGCCTCCACGTCGTACGTAGCACCATGAGTGAACAGCCAGAAGACTTTTTCCGACTTGGGCACGGCTGCGAATTCCTGCAGCATCGCAGCTTTCTCTTCTTTATTGACACGAAGGCTCCACACAAACTTCGTTGGATCTTCTCGGTAGTAAATCACATTATCCTCCACCTCCACATGGCGTATGCAATCCAGACCCGACAGTCCATTCGTAAACTAGCTAAGAAGAGCTCTTCGGCGAGCTCCAGGGATTGTCACATTGGTGGTTGCGTTACTCGTCCCGTTTAGAGTTAAGTTGGCGGCTGGAATTGGAGCCTCCACGATGGGAGTGCCATTGATGCATCTGCTCTGCCAGCTCGCAGCGGTGTAAGTGGGACCGCCGCTGTCGAAACAGATGGAGCCATTCTTCGTGTTTATTGTGATGTTTGCGGCACAGTCGCCATCCTTGAATGCCGTGCTCCATTGGCATCTGTCGCCTCGGACCTGCAGCGATTGATAGGGGTTGTCCGAGACGCAGCAGCTTCCGTTGCTGATTGAGGTGCAGAGACTCTGCACAAGCCCCGAGCAAGTAGGCCCGTCCCAGAAGAGGTAGTCCACGGCCTGCGCACCCTGGAGGACGGACAACGACAGAATCACCATGGCCGAGGCCAGAAACAAAGTTTCGGCTTTCAGCTTTGCCATGATTCTTATCGGAGTTGCTGCCTTGTTGTGATCGGACCTGCAAGATGAGCGAAGCGAGAGCGAAACTATTAACAAACTTGCTGCATAGAGGACGATAGGAAACTCTCAGTTCTGAACCTGAATAACGGACATGGAGCAAAAAACATTGCCAGCAGAAAGTCCCACACACAGCAACACACGAATTTTCTTTATCCTTTGGCATGTTGATTGAAACTGAATTCAAGGGTCTGATTGTTCTGTCGCATCATACCCTATGATTGAAAAAATGTAGCAAACTATGGATCAGCAATCAGAGTGGTAGAAAAGAAACAACGAAACGAACAAGGTATTTTGAATATTGAATTGCATGGCTTCTACACCTTCTTCAGATCCCTGCCCGACTTTACCTTTGACCCGATCAGAAAGTGGATTCCCCAGTGCTATTCTGCCTATCAAAAGCTTCCACTTTATGACAGGCGAACCACTGGATCGTATCGCTGCCTGCAAAAGAGGATGATTTCACTGGAGGCTCCTTCAGCTATTTGTACTCGGAGAGTTGTAGCTCGCCCTGGATGTTGAGGAGCTTCTCCAGGTCAGTTCCAGGTCATCCCAGTTGAAACCATCGGCCTCCTGCTCTGCATAACATCAAAGGAGAAGTGTCACGATTATAGGATAATATTGAATCCCTGTTACAATAATGTATAATATAAAAATGAAAAAGTACTTAATTATATTTAATTATAAAGGTCGATATGATTGTTAATTGACGTGCCATCCGCTCTAGCTTTTCCTGGTCACTTTCAGAATATGCTCCAGGTCATGGATTCTGGGTTTTTTAAGATGTTAGCTGGTCCTTACAAATGCTTGAACACTGATTGATGAGGAGTTTCAGCTCCAGATCTGAGTCTCCAAGGTCATATGAAGGCCTTGCTCTTCGTTTCCTCGTATTTGGCTCTCAGAAATTATGGCAAATGATTTGTTGCCATAATGTGATATTTTATGGATTATTTGTGACTGGATCACCCGATTTCACTATTTTATGCTCCCTGCTTGCTTACGAGCACTTTGGCTTGTACTCCGTCCAGTGCTCTAATCGAGATGAATGTAGTTGATGTAATGATACAAGAGCCACTAGATGTTGCAATCGGCAGGTGGGAAGAATGTTTGCACCCTGCATTAATAAGAAAACAATGGACCATGTTACCAAGAGAAATGTAAATGCATCCAACGAACACGCACGGTTCTCACTTTATACCGTCCAATGGCAGATATCGATGAGTGTCGATCACGAGGTTTTTCTTCCTCCATTTCAAGAGGTAATTCGTAATACTTTGGTCAGTATAACAAAGAAACCAGATTGCATTTCATTTTGTGACCACTAGTTCTCACATGCTTTTCAGAAACATCGCATCTGGCTCACTTGCTTGAAACGAGCATAGCATTCATCTTCAAATCAGAACCACATTGGCGTATTTGCATCAAGCAGTCAGTTGGTAGAGCCCTGGTCCATAACTGAACACGAAAGGAATGACTTTTACAAGAACGTCTCTTTGATGATGCGATTTATTTCGGCTCGAAATATTTCAACACTCAATGGCCACTTCGTGTAAGAACTACGAGCCCTTTTTCATCGAGCAGTCGAGCGTCAGTTTGAAGTTTTGTTCAACTCTCGGATCACGTAGAAGAATGTCGAAGTTTCGAAATTTTATTTGAAACAATGCCCCTGAATGCAATCGTGAATAAGCTGTGGCAATGTCTTAGCTTCTCTTCTGGTAACAAAAATGTAACAGAAGAGAAACATACGAAGTCCACATTTCAGTCCTTTTGGAGATATATAAAGTAAACTATAGTATAATCTATAATATATATAATATTTTATATTTTACAATTTAATTTAAACTACATGTAAATTACTCAGGCTTCCACTCGTGACATCAATTCACCATGAGCGCCTCAATCTTCAAATCCTCAAATGTTTATTCCGAGGTCCGAGGCCGGAGCGACCGATGTAAAGGGTTGGTAGTCGGAGATGAAGGCCAAAAGCTGCTAATATTAGAAGTCAGCTCTAGTCACCCGTCTTGCGGGTGAACGCGATTCCCGCGATAGCATCAAATCTTCTCGGCAGATTGACATCTACTTCGAGCGACGGCCACTGGGTTTGATCATTCTCCTGACGACAAGCTGTTGGTGATACTAGGGGATAAAATATTTTACATTACGCAGAGAATTTCAAAGATGAAGATTCATACGCGAGAGCATAAGAAGGGAGCTCAGGTTCACTTCATGATCATTCCAGAATGTCTTTCTTTTTGCAATGGGACCTGTCAGTAAGAAGTATTTGGGGAGTCTAGATAGAATAAATCTAGAAATTGTAATCTACAAAGTATGCACGACAGAAGGAATGCCAAATCTCTTGTAGGGGGTTAGAAAGTGAAGCCGAACTTAAGATGAGCACATACTGACCAGGAATGAATGTCTCATCATACTCTGGCAGGAGAGGAGATTGGTCATAATAAAGTACGATGAAAACAGTTATGTTGAGTTGTCAACTGAGAGGCATTTTAAAAAACCCCTGCCTATCAAAAGTACCTGTGTTCTCGTCACCGACCGGGCGTTCCAGAGGAACTTGATCTATTGAACGCTCTGAGAATAATAAGAAATAAAAAAGTGGACATTGATACTGAGGTGGCGAAAGATGATGACCTTTGAGAGCCCTTTGAACTCGGAAAGGTTTCTTAAAATTTCTGTTTATTTGGGTTGATAGAACTTTCCAGGTCGACTAAAGGCCCATCCAATCACTCCAGTGCTTGCCGAGCAGCGTAAGACAGGTGAATGGATTAAGATTCCTCAGCAAGAGTTTAAAAACTGAGGACCAGAAACGAATCGAATGCCGCAATTCAGTCCGATTGTTTAGCTCATTTTGGGATCTGATTCTTTCTTTTACACTCGTGGGGATTGTCTGCGCATGCACCTCACCATCGTGAAAGGTATAGTAGAGGAAGTGGTGCTCACGGATGATTGACCTCCAAGTTCCAAGTCTCATGGCTTAATCTTGGAGGGTGGCTTTTGATAATAATCAAAAGCGAAAATGTGAATGCTCATGTGGCCCTCATATCACACGATCTTATACTGCGTTGATCATGAGCTCGCGGAGCAAGTTTTTTAGCATGCTCTCATCTACTGCTGTTGTTGCTATTTCAGGACGCAGTATGGGAGAAAATGCAACAGTAAATTCATACTTTAAAGCGACCCCATTCAACAGCTCCCATAAATTCACAAGCAATCTATCTCTTTTGCAAAACTTAAATTGTACAAAATTCAAAAGATTTTGTCATACCCTTATTACACTTGACTTTAAGTCGCAAATACTTGCAAGAGAATTTAGTTACAACATCTCATTGAATCTACTTTAATTTACATGTTTTGTAACAACTAGTTCTTATCTCAACCTATATAGCCTTCTATGTTAATATATTGCAATCTTCACTCTTTGGTGGCAATTCAGCCTCCTAGCCTAAGGTAACCACGTTCCCATGAGTCTCGGATTTCCACAAAGATCTCCTTCCTATGGGTTCCTCAGCACTTCCTAGCATTAGCGATCAATAGCTTTGATCTGTTAATGAAGACACAAGGAAAAATATCAAGGTGGCTAATCATTCACCATTTTTCGTAGAGAGCCAAATACTAGCAGAGGAAGAGCATGGTCTTCATATCAGTTAGTGGTCAAGCACAGATCCTACTGTAATCAGTCCCCACGACCTGGATCATATTTTATTATGAACCCCGAAAAGCTAACGCAGATGACACATCAATTGCCAATCATATCGACTTATATATGTTTTGTACATTCTGGTAACAGGATCTCAAATATTGTGTGAGTTACTATAGTATTATAGTACTATGAGTTTCTATACTACGATTACACGGTACTCGTTTAATCGTACGCAGTGCTAGAAGGCATATGGTTTGAACTGGGATGAGCTGGAACTGACCTGGAGAAGTTCCTCAGCATCCAAGGCGAGCTGCAACTCTGCGAGTACAAATAGCTGAAGGAGCCTCCAATGAAATCATACTCTTTTGCAGGCAGCGATACGATCCAGTGCTTCACCTGTCATAAAGTGCAAGCTTTTGATAGGAGGAGTAGCACTGGGGAGTCCACTCTCTGATCGAGTCAAAGGTAAAGTCGTACAGGGATCTGAAGAAAGTGTAGAAGCCATGCAAATCAATAGACCTTGTTCGTTTCGTTGTTTCAATTCCACCATTCTGATTGCAAATCCATCAATTGTTTTACCATTCAAAGGCTACAGGACAGAATAATCAGGTCCTGAATTCAGTTCCAGTTTACATGCGAAACGATAAAAAATGAATGTGTTGATGTGTAGAGGACTTTCTGCTACCAACGTTTTCTGCTCTATGTCCAGTATCCAGGTACAGAACCAAGAGTTTCATAGCGTCCCCTATGCCGCCAGTTTGTTAACAGTGTCACTCTCGCTTCGTTTATCTTGCAGGTCCGATCACAACAAGGCAGCAACTCCAGTAAGAATCATGGCAAAGCTGAGAACCGAAACTTTGTTTCTGGCCTCGGCCATGGTGATTCTGTCGTTGTCCGTCCTCCAGGGTGCGCAGGCCGTGGACTACCTCTTCTGGGACGGGCCTACTTGCTCGGGACTTGTGCAGAGTCTCTGCACCTCAATCAGCAACGGAAGCTGCTGCGTCTCCGACAACCCCTATCAATCGCTGCAAGTCCGAGGTGACAGATGCCAATGGAGCACAGCATTCAAGGATGGCGACTGTGCCGCAAACATCACAATAAACACGAAGAATGGCTCCATCTGTTTCGACAGCGGCGGTCCCACTTACACCGCTGCGAGCTGGCAGAGCAGATGCATCAATGGCACTCCCATCGTGGAGGCTCCAATTCCAGCCGCCAACTTAACTCTAAACGGGACGAGTAACGCAACTACCAATGTGACGATCCCTGGAGCTCGCCGAAGAGCTCTTCTTAGCGAGTTTACGAATGGACTGTCGGGTCTGGATTGCATACGCCATGTGGAGGTGGAGGATAATGTGATTTACTACCGAGAAGATCCAACGAAGTTTGTGTGGAGCCTTCGTGTCAATAAAGAAGAGAAAGCTGGGATGCTGCAGGAACTTGCAGCTGTGCCCAAGTCTGATAAAGCCTTCTGGCTGTTCACTCATGGTGCTACGTACGACGTGGAGGCGTCAGCGAGCTCGTTCGAGCTTGTTGTGGCCTAAGCTGTAATCAAGATCCTGGTGGAGGATTGGAGAGGTGGATGTTGGGGCTCGTAGCTTTAGAATGTATGTTTTAGGGGAAGTGGATTCTGAAACAGTTAGTTGTTGATCCAGAATTGTGGATTCTATCTCTTAGGTGCGTGTGTAGATTACCTCATTGATTTCATTCATTGACACAATTATCAATAAAATGCCCAAACAACTGGGATTCAGAATATTAATATATTGGATAATAGTATGAAAAGGGT